TAGAGTACCACACAGACTGTCTTTACTATCACAATATTGGGGTGTTTTTACCTTGTATAGAGTACCACACACAGACTGAATTTGTCTTTACCATCACAATATTGAAGTGTTTTTATCTTCACCATAATTTAGAGTATCACACAAGATGTGTGAGCATCGTTATTATTTAGAGTATCAGAGAGGCTGTGGATGTCTTCACCATCTTGTTGAGTACAACACAGACTGTGTGTGTCTTCACCATCTTGTTGAGTATAACACAGACTGTCATTATCATAATTTAGAGTATTGTAGACTGTGTGTGTCTTCACCATCTTGTTGAGTATAACACAGACTGTGTGTGTCTTCACCATCTTGTTGAGTATAACACAGACTGTCATTATCATAATTTAGAGTATTGTAGACTGTGTGTGTCTTCACCATCTTGTTGAGTATAACACAGACTGTGTGTGTCTTCACCATCTTGTTGAGTATAACACAGACTGTGTGTGTCTTCACCATCTTGTTGAGTATCATTATCATAATTTAGAGTATTGTAGACTGTGTGTGTCTTCACCATCTTGTTGAGTATAACACAGACTGTGTGTGTCTTCACCATCTTGTTGAGTATAACACAGACTGTGTGTGTCTTCACCATCTTGTTGAGTATAACACAGACTGTCATTATCATAATTTAGAGTATTGTAGACTGTGTGTGTCTTCACCATCTTGTTGAGTATAACACAGACTGTCATTATCATAATTTAGAGTATTGTAGACTGTGTGTGTCTTCACCATCTTGTTGAGTATAACACAGACTGTGTGTGTCTTCACCATCTTGTTGAGTATAACACAGACACCATCTTGTTGAGTATAACACAGACTGTCATTATCATAATAGAGTATTGTAGACTGTGTGTGTCTTCACCATCTTGTTGAGTATAACACAGACTGTGTGTGTCTTCACCATCTTGTTGAGTATAACACAGACTGTGTGTTTCTTCACCATCTTGTTGAGTATAACACAGACTGTGTGTTTCTTCACCATCTTGTTGAGTATAACACAGACTGTGTGTTTCTTCACCATCTTGTTGAGTATAACACAGACTGTGTGTTTCTTCACCATCTTGTTGAGTATAACACAGACTGTGTGTGTCTTCACCATCTTGTTGAGTATAACACAGACTGTGTGTGTCTTCACCATCTTGTTGAGTACAACACAGACTGTGTGTGTCTTCACCATCTTGTTGAGTACAACACAGACTGTGTGTGTCTTCACCATCTTGTTGAGTACAACACAGACTGTGTGTGTCTTCACCATCTTGTTGAGTATAACACAGACTGTGTGTGTCTTCACCTTCTTGTTGAGTACAACACAGACTGTGTGTGTCTTCACCATCTTGTTGAGTATAACACAGACTGTGTGTGTCTTCACCATCTTGTTGAGTATAACACAGACTGTCATTATCATAATTTAGAGTATTGTAGACTGTGTGTGTCTTCACCATCTTGTTGAGTACAACACAGACTGTCATTATCATAATTTAGAGTATTGTAGGCTGTGTGTGTCTTCACCATCATTTAGAATAACACACATCTTTTCATATAATATTTTACATGTAGTTTTCATCACATAACAATCTGAAAACTGTTAATCTGATGAAATATATTGTATTATAAGTTTTACAATATAGCTGAGAAACACCAAATTACATAAAGCAGACTTCACATGATGATACCATCAGTAAAGCACTGCTCTAACACTTTCAGGACAGTATGGATGGTGTTCCATTCTTGAACAGATCTATGTGACATTTTTATTAATATCTATGTAAGCTAGGCAGGTACACAATTTGGGAAGCTCCTGCACTTCCCTGCTGTTAGTGTCAGCCCTCCACAGTTAATCAGTATACAGTGTGGTCTGGGTTTAACTGTTGATTCCTCCTGCACAAAGACTGTGAGCTGAGGAAGTTGACTTAGTAAATTAGTTTTTTGTCCAAAGAAGAAATGGAGTAACTTGGTCATGAGTAGAACACTGGACTTTCCTGTTATCTGAATTAAAGGTCTGAGTTGTATTGTTTTCTCATCAGAGGTCAGGGTCATTTTCAGGAGGAATCCCCTTATAGTACTTATGGCTACCTCACTGAACATCATGCTGGAAGTCCACTGCATGGTTTCCATTACATTTTTGGTAATGTGTTTTGCCTTTTGAAACAATCATGACAGTACTTGACAACCTGTGATCCAAATTTTCATAGAAACACACCATTGTGTGAAACTATATTAGTTTTCAATTTTGATAAGGGATCTACATTAATATCTACCTATCAGATGTGTTGTTAATGAAGGACAAGACCCCTATTGGTTCATCACAAATTTAATTATCAGCTACTTATTTAATATATATTGAATCCATAAGCAATGAACACCCTCATTGTTCCATACATTCAGATTGTAATCTGTGAAAACCTTCACTTAGATGTAGATAAATTGAATGAATAATGATCACAAAAGTATTAGAAACTATCACTGAATCTTCCAACTTGTCTCCCCGCACAGGTCCCGGCTTAAACTGGCGATATTGATTAAATGTTAGAACAATGCAAACTTCCTGAGGGGTCCATGGACTCAGGAGTGATCCCCGAAGAAAAAGTTCACAGAAAGGTCACTGAAAGGTCTTTGCCATGTACAAAATCAATAAATATTGGAGAATAGAAGATTAACTTTTGACCAAACATAATTATATACCTACCCACATGATTTTTTTTCTTTCCTTCTGGGATTTTTTCTTCAACAAAACACAATTTCGATTTAATTTGTTTTTTTTCCAAGGTGATAGAGGTCACTTGTGGTACATAGTTATCGTAGAAATGAGATTTATCACATTTTCTCTAGAGAAATAGCCGATTTATAAATTGGCTATCTTCACCTGAGATAAAAGTGTTTGTTAGTTGTGGTGTCAGTATCATGAAACATACAACTTTGATGTCCGTTTATTGTTCAGGGAAATGAAATTCATGTGTCACATTTTTTGTTTGTTTCATGACTGTGAAAGTTTTATTGATACTCTTTTGGTCATGTTATAAAAAAGTTAATCTCCAAAGACAAAATTCTAGACAAGAAACAATATTTTTTGTGTTAGCTTGAATTTTTTTTTTTTAAGAATTAAGCAATCGCAACAAGCTAAGGGTTCCGAGATGATAATTTATTATATTAGTAATTTTAGTACTTTAGGGATAAATTTTACAGAGAATGTTGTCCTGAACGAGCCCATATGTTGCGGGCGAAACCGGTAGACAATATAATAAATTATCATCTCGGAACCCTTAGCTTGTTGCGATTGCTTCTTAATTCTTAGTTCCTACTATTTTGCAATCGCCCTGCATACCTGGAGGTATCCAAGCAAGGGGACCTCAGAACCCATCTAATTTTTACTAAAAGCACGGCGTTGGCTCTTAACCCTTTTTGATTTTTTTTTTAGTGGTAAATGTTTTGCTGTCATTTAAGTATCCTGATATCGTGTCCTCTTTAATGTTAGATCCATTCCTACAAACAAATCAGTAATTAGTAAATTACCCATAGTCTTTGACAAATTATTTGTCTTGCAGTACACAATCGGCATTTACTGGATCACATAAAAGCTTGCATGCTACATAGAAATCAATAGGACTTAATCCAGATCACTACAATGCTTGGGAACTTTTTTCATCATTGCAGTAATAAGGAGAAAAAATGTAGTGCTGCAAGTATATAAAGCCCATCGTAATTACTAAGCAATTACTTATCAGGAGCTAGATGGGTGTGCGAGGATCAGTGGTCGGCTTGGTCACAATCGATAAAATCTATACCACCATTTCTCTCCTCCTGGGCAGAAAATTTCCTCTGTTTCTGGTTCAGTTCCTGTGCACCACTGATTGGAAAATCTTCTGACTGGAATCAGATCACTTTCTTTTAGTGTAGTTGATTAAATGTATTATGCCAAATGGATTTTTTTTTTCTAACAGATTCATTTTTTCAGAGAAAGAAGAAAAATGCTTAACATATAAAAACTCACTCAAAATATGTTTATGATTTATGCAATTAGATATTTTTTCAAGACTTGATTCAAATACATGCTTAGCAATGTTACTAATGTACATATTAAATTTCATTACCTACATTTGATGGAAGATTTCTGTCTAATCACAATATAATGACACAACCTTAGTCTTGTAATTTCGAACTAAGAGAACATGGCGTCTAGATAGAAAGGATTGATTGATGTTTTGAAATTGAAATGAGGTTTCTAATTTACTGATAGTCCATGTTTAATGAACAATATTAAAGAAGTTCTGGGAGAGGAAAGGATGTGTTGGGATGATGAGGAAGGCGGGATGGATTAGGAGCTGAAACAACTTGTACTATAACTGTTAAAGGGTTTTGTCTCAAAATGTGCAGACTGAATCCTATAAGGTTTGCCAATAGACAAGACTATGACTGTATAAATGCGTTTGACAACTTAATCCCTGGTCCAATAACTGGATAGATAGAACTGCCATTGATGATGTTGTTGGAATCCAGGCTTTCTATTTCTGGCTTGTATGTGAAACTGAGTCAAACAAAAGACCAGTCGGAGATTTCAAATTTAGCTTGTTAATTCTCAAGTGTGACAGGTATTGCTAGAATTCACAGCTTACAAAGTCATTGATAATACTTATAGATTTTTCTATTTACAAGATATATATGTTGGGGTCATCATTTTCAAGGTAACTTAATTCTGGACTTAATACCTTTGTTTTTAGTCTAGTAAATGTTAATCGAAGATGAAGTTTAAAAGTTGCCTTTTTATTGTTTCTGCTTTTTTTCCAGGAATATTACTTTGTATATCATTTCTTTAACAGGAAGAAATTATGCAGAGTAAATGCATTTTATATTTCATAAGTAATACATGTCCTGTATAAACTATGAATGAAGAAAATCTGTCCTTCATAAGAAAGAGATGACAAGTCAGTAGATGATAATTGATCGTTTATTGTGTTTTCCAGATTTGAAGATGGCACCGTACCATTTTTGGATATCATTGGTCTCCGTCATGGTTTTAACGCCTTGGATAAGATCGGAGGTAACAGCCTTTTACATACAGTGATGATATATCAACTGTACAAATCAATTCACTAGACTTAAACTATAAAGTTCCACGGAGTTGTAATACAGATCAAGAAGATAGTGCCATTGAAACAAAATAATGTTATTTTGATGTATTTTAGACAAAGAGTTGGACAAACACTCATCAGACTAACAAATAAAATCACATCAAACAAACAGGCACCCGTCAGATAAACACAAACCCTCATCAAACAAACGCAAATCACAGAAACACAAATTCACCTCAGATAAACACAAATTCACCTCAGATTAAACACAAATTCACCTCAGATAAACACAAATTCACCTCAGATAAACACAAATTCACCTCAGATAAACACAAATTCACCTCAGATAAACACAAATTCACCTCAGATAAACACAAATTCACCTCAATTAAACACAAATTCACCTCAGATAAACACAAATTCACCTCAGATAAAACACAAATTCACCTCAGATAAACACAAATTCACCTCAGATAAACACAAATTCACCTCAGATAAACACAAATTCATCTCAGATAAACACAAATTCACCTCAGATAAACACAAATTCACCTCAGATAAAACACAAATTCACCTCAGATAAACACAAATTCACTTCAGATAAAACACAAATTCACTTCAGATAAACACAAATTCACCTCAGATAAACACAAATTCACCTCAGATAAACACAAATTCACCTCAGATAAACACAAATTCACCTCAGAAAAACACAAAACCCTCATCAAACAAACGCCAATCACAGAAACACAAATTCACCTCAGATAAACACAAATTCACCTCAGAAAAACACAAATTCACCTCAGATAAACACAAATTCACCTCAGATAAACACAAATTCACCTCAGAAAAACACAAAACCCTCATCAAACAAATGCCAATCACAGAAACACAAATTCACCTCAGAAAAACACAAATTCACCTCAGATAAACACAAATTCACCTCAGAAAAACACAAAACACTCATCAAACAAACGCCAATCACAGAAACACAAATTCACCTCAGATAAACACAAATTCACCTCAGATAAACACAAACACCCATCAGATAAACAAATAGATGAATACCCAAAAGAAAAATACCTTAACGACAACATTGAATTTCTATATTCTGTTGTTAAAGAGATGCTGACATTCATAGTCTCACCTCTCATATAGATAATTTATTACCATACAACATAACTTAAGAGAAGAGATACGAACAGACTGGGATTGGTGCTAATGTATACAACACAGGAAATTATCACCAAGAACAGACAATTAACACGCTGTATCACTGAGCAAAAATTAGCACTTTCCAAGCTTTAGAGGTGTCAAGAAATTTTCGTTAGAATGAATTCTTAAACCTCTTCTCATCTGACCAACACCTAGTTTGATTGGTATGATTAAATTATCAAATTAAGAGAAAAGACTTCTAAGTTCATTATCATCAGCACAACATTCTTTCCTCAGTAATTCACATAAGTACATAAGTTCCATAATGACACAGGTTCCTTTTGTATGAGATAAGATTATCTTTTTATATCTTTACCAATTGAAAAAATGTCATATGGTCTTAATTAGTCTTAATTAGCGATAATTTTAGCCAACAGGATTTGTGTAATGATTTATAAAATTATTGCCATTTCTTTTCAGACTTTTTTCTAAAAGATTGTTCCTTTGCAATTCTCAGATGCATTAAATTTTTCTTGTGAAATGAATTGTTTCCTGCAATCAAAGACAACTTAATTTGTAGTTATTGTCCAATTATATTCGGCCTTGAAATTGATAATACTTTAATTTGAATTTTTAAAACAATTGAACTTTTGTGATTGGTGCATTGGAATTCCCTGGTGTAATGGATCCTTTTATTCAATCAAACATGTGTTGATTTGAAACGCTGGTTCAATTATTTCTTGTCCTTGGAATTAATGATGTTTTAATTTCTGTTTCTGAAATATTTATGTCCTTCCTGTTAAATGTGTCACATTTCCCTTTGTTTTGGGGAAGATTCATTTGTCTGTTTAAAACCTCATTGGAAATTTGTTTTCATTTTCAGATTTTAACACTTGCATATAAATTAGCTTCATATCTTCTTTCAATTTACTTTCAACTTTTTAAAAATTTTTAATCATTGTGACCATTAATTAACTGAGGTGTAGTTGAGCACATGATTTATTTAAGATACACTCAGCATGTCATTGTTCATGTCAGTATAGATGTTGCTGATATGACAAGTTACCTGAAAAATATACATGTAATCTGTTTAAGGACAAGGGGCTACCTTGGGTCCTAAAAAAAATGTTTTACTGTTTGTTTTAAAAGTGTTGAAATGTACACCTGGGTTTAAGTAATTCTACACTTTTGCTTGCCTATCTAAGTTATGTTTTCAAAAGATATTTCTTAAAAAGGGAAATTCCACTCATTTACAGTATAATATTCTCAGAAATCAAGTTGTTATCTTTTTAATTTTAATGATAGGACCTAACCCTTCCATTTTGGCTTCTACCCTCACATTGATGGTTTTGTGTATTACTGACAGGACCCCCACCCTACCATTACAGCCCCCCACCCTCACATTGATGGTTTTGTGTATTACTGACAGGACCCCCACCCTACCATTACAGCCCCCCACCCTCACATTGATGGTTTTGTGTATTACTGACAGGACCCCCGCCCTACCATTACAGCCCCCTACCCTCACATTGATGGTTTTTTGTATTACTGACAGGACCCCCACCCTACCATTACAGCCCCCTACCCTCACATTGATGGTTTTGTGTATTACTGACAGGACCCCCACCCTACCATTACAGCCCCCTACCCTCACATTGATGGTTTTGTGTATTACTGACAGGACCCCCACCCTACCATTACAGCCCCCTACCCTCACATTGATGGTTTTGTGTATTACTGACAGGACCCCCACCCTACCATTACAGCCCCCCACCCTCACATCGATGGTTTTGTGTTTTACTGACAGGACCCCCACCCTACCATTACAGCCCCCCACCCTCACATTGATGGTTTTGTGTATTACTGACAGGACCCCCACCCTACCATTACAGCCCCCCCCCCTCACATCGATGGTTTTGTGTTTTACTGACAGGACCCCCACCCTACCATTACAGCCCCCCACCCTCACATTGATGGTTTTGTGTATTACTGACAGGACCCCCACCCTACCATTACAGCCCCCTACCCTCACATTGATGGGCTTTGTGTTTTACTGACAGGACCCCCACCTACCATTACAGCCCCCCACCCTCACATTGATGGTTTTGTGTTTTACTGACAGGACCCCCACCCTACCATTACAGCCCCCCACCCTCACATTGATGGTTTTGTGTTTTACTGACAGGACCCCTGCTCTACCATTATGGTCCCCTAACTTAGCTTGTTAGTTCTTGTTAATTTTATCCTTAGGGCTTATATCCTCAATAAAACATATTTTAATTTCGGAAATTTAAGATTGCTTTTCTTCAAATATTTAGTCCCCTCTCCACCCAACATCTTACCATTGACATTATAAGGACTTAAATCGCTTACTTCTGCATCTTAACTGCTTTTTGACGAAGAATTCATATCAAATCCATCATGTAGTCAAAATTGTTCTGTGACATAAGAGAGATAACTCTTGTATTTTACAAAAGACCTGTCATTGTTTCATATCTCTTTGTAGCTTCCTTCGTTTGTTTGCGGTTTTTTTTTCCCAGATTTTTTTCCCTTAAGTTATTTTTCCCCTAATGCACAAACAATTCAGACTTACATTATATTTTACAATTTAAAAAAAATATGATGCAACTTTTTCAACATTTCAGCATTTCTTTTATAAAGCATTTCTCAAATTTGTTATCCCACCATGATTGCCTGTCCCTCTGTCCTTTCGTGAACCATTTTTGTTATTGCTTTTTCTTGAGAAGAACAAGTTGGATCTTTCTCAAATTTCATGTATAGGTTTCCCTCAATCCTTAGTTTGAATTCAAATCTGATCAGAGAAACAATATGGCTGACAGGCAACCATCTAGGATTTTGCCTAGTAAAGATTGTTATTGCTATTTCTTGAGAAGTGTTGAATGGATCTCTCTCAAATATAATGTGTTGGTTCCCCTTGGCCCCTAATTGTGCCAGTTTGATTTTGGGAATGATCAGAGAAACAAAATGGCCAACAGGCAGCCATCTTGGATTTTGATTTTGAAAATGTTTTATTGCTTTTACTTAAGAACTGCTACATAGGTCTTTCTCAAATTTGTTGTGTTTGTTTCCCTTGATCCTTAGTTGTGCCAGTTTTATTTTAGAACTGACTAGAAAAACAAAATGGCTGACAGACAGCCATCCAGGGACCAGGTTACTGTCTTGAATTTGGCAGTTAAAGATTATTATTGCTATTTCTGCAGAGGATTAATGTTCAAATTTTTTGCCATTAAGAGCAAAAACAGAGAAGAGACAAGAAAAGAAAGGGAAAAGATAGAACTTTCAAAGAATAAATAAAGATCAAACAATCTTGGGTGCCAAGTTCCCTCAGGGATCTCTTGTTAATATATCTTGGTATTTTTTATTTCAACACCAGGGGGTATTGAGAGGATTTCCCAGCATACTTTTACCATTGCACAATATTTCCATCACAATCTTTCATCGTTACACCATGGTAATGGACGTCCAGTGGCTGAAATTTACTGTGACAACAAGTTCGATGACATTCAAACTCAGGGGCCAATAATCAACTTTAATCTGAGACGAGCTAATGGAGATTACGTAGGCTTTGCAGAGGTAATCATAGATTAACCAATAGCTAGAGAATTTACCTACAAATACATTTGTCCTGTAATAAGCCCATCCCCCTGCCTTTGAGTGAGAGATAATATGTGAGCTGTCAGGACTTTTCAAAGAATAATAATGCTGATTTTCTGTTTCAATCTCTGTTAATCAGCTGGCATACCTGTCGTAATTTAACATGATTAAAATGTCTTTGTACTTTTTATTATTTTATTACCTGTTGTAATTTATGATAATTCTTTGCTCCCTCCAGGTAGATAAGATGGCACAGTTATACAACATACATCTGAGGACTGGCTGTTTCTGTAACATTGGAGCCTGTCAAAAGTACCTTCATTTGTCATCAAAGCAGGTTAAAGATAATTTTCAGGTACACACTACTTTAACGAGAGTCTCTATGAGTCTAGGTCAAATTTAGATTACAGGCATGAAATGTTGGTGTATGATGCAGTTTTTTTTGTAGTATATCCGAATCACAAATATGCATGAGATTATCTTCAACAACACTTGTGATTGAATACTGAAATACTGTCCTACTTTTTTCGTAGGTTCAAAATTTTGTCATTGTAGCAAAACTTTAAAGCAAAAAGAATGCATTTTCATGGAATTCCTGAATAAGACTTTCCTTTTTTCTTTTTTTTAGATTTTATTCCATTTATTGTAAACAGTCTGCTTAGTGTATAATATCAAATGAGTAAATATAACCAAGTTATGTTTCAAAATTATTTATTCATGATGAAACAAACTTTTGTAAAATGATTATCTCCCTTTTGTAGGCGGGCCACAGTTGTGGGGACAGTAGAGATCTGATTGAGGGAATTCCCACAGGGTCGGTCCGGATTTCTTTTGGATACCCATCCATTCTCAAGGATGCACAGATCTGTTTGAATTTCATAACTGAATGCTTTCTAGAAAAATCTGGAGAAAAGTTTAATTTCCTGAATATGTCCCTGCAAGATTTCCATTCTGATCATTTGTCCCATTCAGAATCAGAAGCGAACAGACAGCCATCATGTTTTGACAACTCAGAGTCTGGTTTCTCATCAGAGGAAGAATTTAAAGACTGCCGATCAGAAGAGGTTTTGGAAACAGTATTACATAAACAATATGACCAATCAGAGAGTCTGTCACTGTCACCTTTGGAAAAGGTTCATATCTTAGAAAGCTGTGATGAACACACAAAAAGACTTACAGGAATCATGTTATACCCTGTAAAATCCTGTGGGGCAATGGAGGTAGGTCAATGTTGGTGATATGTTTTCTGTTGTTATCTTTGGATGAGTCGGTAGAGCGACAGGCTGGGAACTTGTTGGCAGTGGTTTGATTACTTGTAGAAGAGAATAGATTTCTAGATATTGAGGCTACTAGAGTTTGACAGAATGCTGAAACTATTAGAGTTTCAAGGAGTACTGAGCCTACGAGACTTTCACAAAATAATGAAACTACTAGATTTTCATAGAATACTGAGACTTTGAATATTGATGCTGCTACAGTTTTACAAAGTTGTTGAATCTATCAGATTTTGGTGGTATACTGAAGTTAAGTGTTTCACTGAATACTGAGGGTATCATAGTTTGACAGGATATTGTGACTACTAGAAGTTGACAGGATACTGGTACCTCTAGAGTCTGATGGAATACTGAGGATACTAGAGTTTGAAGGAATACTGAGGATACCAGAGTGTGAGAGAATACTGAGGATACCAGAGTTTGAAGGAATACTGAGGATACCAGAGTTTGAAGGAATACTGAGGATACCAGAGTTTGAAGGAATACTGAGGATACAAGAGTTTGAGAGAATACTGAGGATACCAGAGTTTGAAGGAATACTGAGGATACCAGAGTTTGAAGGAATACTGAGGATACCAGAGTTTGAGAGAATACTGAGGATACCAGAGTTTGAGAGAATACTGAGGATACCAGAGTTTGAGAGAATACTGAGGATACCAGAGTTTGAAGGAATACTGAGGATACCAGAGTTTGAAGGAATACTGAGGATACAAGAGTTTGAGAGAATACTGAGGATACCAGAGTTTGAGAGAATACTGAGGATACCAGAGTTTGAAGGAATACTGAGGATACCAGAGTTTGAAGGAATACTGAGGATACCAGAGTTTGAAGGAATACTGAGGATACCAGAGTTTGAAGGAATACTGAGGATACCAGAGTTTGAGAGAATACTGAGGATACCAGAGTTTGAAGGAATACTGAGGATACCAGAGTTTGAAGGAATACTGAGGATACCAGAGTTTGAGAGAATACTGAGGATACCAGAGTTTGAAGGAATACTGAGGATACCAGAGTTTGAAGGAATACTGAGGATACCAGAGTTTGAAGGAATACTGAGGATACCAGAGTTTGAAGGAATACTGAGGATACCAGAGTTTGAGAGAATACTGAGGATACCAGAGTTTGAAGGAATACTGAGGATACCAGAGTTTGAAGGAATACTGAGGATACCAGAGTTTGAAGGAATACTGAGGATACCAGAGTTTGAAGGAATACTGAGGATACCAGAGTTTGAAGGAATACTGAGGATACCAGAGTTTGAGAGAATACTGAGGATACCAGAGTTTGAAGGAATACTGAGGATACCAGAGTTTGAAGGAATACTGAGGATACCAGAGTTTGAGAGAATACTGAGGATACCAGAGTTTGAGAGAATACTGAGGATACCAGAGTTTGAGAGAATACTGAGGATACCAGAGTTTGAAGGAATACTGAGGATACCAGAGTTTGAGAGAATACTGAGGATACCAGAGTTTGAGAGAATACTGAGGATACCAGAGTTTGAGAGAATACTGAGGATACCAGAGTTTGAGAGAATACTGAGGATACCAGAGTTTGAAGGAATACTGAGGATACCAGAGTTTGAAGGAATACTGAGGATACCAGAGTTTGAGAGAATACTGAGGATACCAGAGTTTGATGGAATACTGAGGATACCAGAGTTTGAAGGAATACTGAGGATACCAGAGTTTGAGAGAATACTGAGGATACCAGAGTTTGAAGGAATACTGAGGATACCAGAGTTTGAAGGAATACTGAGGATACCAGAGTTTGAGAGAATACTGAGGATACCAGAGTTTGAAGGAATACTGAGGATACCAGAGTTTGAAGGAATACTGAGGATACCAGAGTTTGAAGGAATACTGAGGATACCAGAGTTTGAGAGAATACTGAGGATACCAGAGTTTGAAGGAATACTGAGGATACCAGAGTTTGAAGGAATACTGAGGATACCAGAGTTTGAGAGAATACTGAGGATACCAGAGTTTGAAGGAATACTGAGGATACCAGAGTTTGAAGGAATACTGAGGATACCAGAGTTTGAGAGAATACTGAGGATACCAGAGTTTGAGAGAATACTGAGGATACCAGAGTTTGAGAGAATACTGAGGATACCAGAGTTTGAGAGAATACTGAGGATACCAGAGTTTGAAGGAATACTGAGGATACCAGAGTTTGAAGGAATACTGAGGATACCAGAGTTTGAGAGAATACTGAGGATACCAGAGTTTGAGAGAATACTGAGGATACCAGAGTTTGAGAGAATACTGAGGATACCAGAGTTTGAAGGAATACTGAGGATACCAGAGTTTGAGAGAATACTGAGGATACCAGAGTTTGAAGGAATACTGAGGATACCAGAGTTTGAAGGAATACTGAGGATACCAGAGTTTGAGAGAATACTGAGGATACCAGAGTTTGAAGGAATACTGAGGATACCAGAGTTTGAAGGAATACTGAGGATACCAGAGTTTGAGAGAATACTGAGGATACCAGAGTTTGAGAGAATACTGAGGATACCAGAGTTTGAGAGAATACTGAGGATACCAGAGTTTGAAGGAATACTGAGGATACCAGAGTTTGAAGGAATACTGAGGATACCAGAGTTTGAAGGAATACTGAGGATACCAGAGTTTGAGAGAATACTGAGGATACCAGAGTTTGAGAGAATACTGAGGATATCAGAGTTTGAAGGAATACTGAGGATACCAGAGTTTGAGAGAATACTGAGGATACCAGAGTTTGAAGGAATACTGAGGATACCAGAGTTTGAAGGAATACTGAGGATACCAGAGTTTGAAGGAATACTGAGGATATTAGAGTTTGAGAGAATACTGAGGATACCAGAGTTTGAGAGAATACTGAGGATACCAGAGTTTGAGAGAATACTGGGGATACCAGAGTTTGAAGGAATACTGAGGATTCCAGAGTTTGAGAGAATACTGAGGATACCAGAGTTTGAAGGAATACTGAGGATACCAGAGTTTGAAGGAATACTGAGGATATTAGAGTTTGAGAGAATACTGAGGATACCAGAGTTTGAGAGAATACTGAGGATACCAGAGTTTGAGAGAATACTGAGGATACCAGAGTTTGAAGGAATACTGAGGATACCAGAGTTTGAGAGAATACTGAGGATACCAGAGTTTGAAGGAATACTGAGGATACCAGAGTTTGAAGGAATACTGAGGATATCAGAGTTTGAAGGAATACTGAGGATACCAGAGTTTGAAGGAATACTGAGGATACCAGAGTTTGAGAGAATACTGAGGATACCAGAGTTTGAAGGAATACTGAGGATACCAGAGTTTGAAGGAATACTGAGGATACCAGAGTTTGAGAGAATACTGAGGATACCAGAGTTTGAAGGAATACTGAGGATATTAAAGTTTGAAGGAATACTGAGGATACCAGAGTTTGAGAGAATACTGAGGATACCAGAGTTTGAGAGAATACTGAGGATACCAGAGTTTGAAGGAATACTGAGGATATTAAAGTTTGAAGGAATACTGAGGATACCAGAGTTTGAGAGAATACTGAGGATACCAGAGTTTGAAGGAATACTGAGGATATTAAAGTTTGAAGGAATACTGAGGATACCAGAGTTTGAGAGAATACTGAGGATACCAGAGTTTGAGAGAATACTGAGGATACCAGAGTTTGAAGGAATACTGAGGATACCAGAGTTTGAGAGAATACTGAGGATACCAGAGTTTGAAGGAATACTGAGGATATTAGAGTTTGAGAGAATACTGAGGATACCAGAGTTTGAGAGAATACTGAGGATACCAGAGTTTGAGAGAATACTGAGGATACCAGAGTTTGAAGGAATACTGAGGATACCAGAGTTTGAGAGAATACTGAGGATACCAGAGTTTGAAGGAATACTGAGGATACCAGAGTTTGAAGGAATACTGAGGATATCAGAGTTTGAAGGAATACTGAGGATACCAGAGTTTGAAGGAATACTGAGGATACCAGAGTTTGAGAGAATACTGAGGATACCAGAGTTTGAAGGAATACTGAGGATACCAGAGTTTGAAGGAATACTGAGGATACCAGAGTTTGAGAGAATACTGAGGATACCAGAGTTTGAAGGAATACTGAGGATATTAAAGTTTGAAGGAATACTGAGGATACCAGAGTTTGAGAGAATACTGAGGATACCAGAGTTTGAGAGAATACTGAGGATACCAGAGTTTGAAGGAATACTGAGGATATTAAAGTTTGAAGGAATACTGAGGATACCAGAGTTTGAGAGAATACTGAGGATACCAGAGTTTGAAGGAATACTGAGGATATTAAAGTTTGAAGGAATACTGAGGATACCAGAGTTTGAGAGAATACTGAGGATACCAGAGTTTGAGAGAATACTGAGGATACCAGAGTTTGAAGAAATACTGAGGATACCAGAGTTTGAGAGAATACTGAGGATACCAGAGTTTGAAGGAATACTGAGGATACCAGAGTTTGAGAGAATACTGAGGATACCAGAGTTTGAAGGAATACTGAGGATATTAAAGTTTGAAGGAATACTGAGGATACCAGAGTTTGAGAGAATACTGAGGATACCAGAGTTTGAAGGAATACTGAGGATATTAAAGTTTGAAGGAATACTGAGGATACCAGAGTTTGAGAGAATACTGAGGATACCAGAGTTTGAAGGAATACTGAGGATACCAGAGTTTGAAGGAATACTGAGGATACCAGAGTTTGAGAGAATACTGAGGATACCAGAGTTTGAGAGAATACTGAGGATACCAGAGTTTGAAGGAATACTGAGGATACCAGAGTTTGAGAGAATACTGAGGATACCAGAGTTTGAAGGAATACTGAGGATACCAGAGTTTGAGAGAATACTGAGGATACCAGAGTTTGAAGGAATACTGAGGATACCAGAGTTTGAGAGAATACTGAGGATACCAGAGTTTGAAGGAATACTGAGG